CCGTCTCCCGCGCCGGCATGGCAGGTGCCGTGCTCCCCATCAGGGCCCTCTCAGTGTCCCCACTTTCCTTAGGGGCCTGGGGGCTGCTCTAGAGGGATGAAGACAGAGGGTGACAGGGACATTTCCAAAGGGGCTAGGACACGGTCCGGCAGTGGCACAGTGCCCAACTCTGCCACCCCTGTTCCCAGTGCCACACTGCCCTGACTCACGTGCTGGGTTGCCACGCCGTGGGCTGCCTCCTCCTTGATGCTGTCAGTGAGGTTGGTGCTGGCATCATCAGCATCTATGCCTGTGGCCTGACCTAGGGGACAGCACAGCACAACAAGGCGCTCAAAGCAGTGGCAATGGTGGCACTGCCTCTGCCCCCTCCTCCCTAGTGATGCCCATGGCTACTGTGGGCAGCCCCGGGGCAGGTGCCTGCTCTCATACATGCCTGGTGCTGGGGCACTCCCAGCAGGACCGAGGTCTTCCCACTGTCCCTGTGCCCTGCCACCCCCTCTCTGCATGCTGGAGCTCCAACCCAGCACCCTGTGCTGGCCCTGTACCAAGGGAGGGGACAGTCCCAGCTGCCTGCAGCCCAGAGGATGGCAGCACAGCAATGGCACCTGCCCCATCCACATCTCTGCCTTCACACCACCTTGTGCTTGCTGCCCCAACACACGTGCATACATGCCACCCACCCTGCAGCCACTGCGCAAGCCACAGCCAGCAGCAGCAGCAGCACGTGCTCGGGCAGGGAGCCTTGCTGGTGCTGCCCCAGCCTGGCAGGAGTGCAGGGGGCGCACCTCACACGATCACCTGCCCAGGCAGGGGCAGCTCAGGGAGGGTACCAACAGCCACCCTGCCCATGCTGCCCAAGCCCTGCTGCCACGCGTGGCATTGGGCTCTTTGCAAGCCCTGCGCTGGCCTTGCAGAGCTGCAGCAGAGCTAAAGGGACACTTGCGTCCCATACCACAGTGCACAGGGGCCTGGGGCCCACCCCGCCCCATGGAGCTGAGCTGGGGGCACACTTTTCTGCTTGCACAGAGCTCTGCTCCTGGCCCCTTGGTGCACAGCCCGGGGCGAGGGCTTGCACCCCTTGTCTAGGCAGCCTTCCTCCAACCCAGCTGCAGGGCCCTGCCTACTCTGCTTAGGCTCAGACTGCCTGGGCTGGGGCATGGGTGTACCCCCAATCCCCCTTCTCCCCAGGCAGAAAGGGGCTTGGACAGAGCCCAAGAGCAGCCCCTGAGGCTCTGCAGGGCCAGGTTTCACAGCTGTACCCTGCAGGAGATGCAGCTGCTTTGCCCGTGGCCAAACCCAGCACCATCAGGTCTGGAGCTCCCAGGCAAGGCTGAACACAGAGTGGGGGAACGCAGAGCGATCCCGGCAGGAGAGGCCAGCCATTGCTGGGGAAGGAGAAGCCAGCAGGGAAGCATACAGGTCCTGGGAGGGAGAGCTGAGGACCAGCCAGGAGCACACCTTGCAGCAGGGTAGGCAGTTGCATAGCACCACATGCACATAGATGGTGGCACGCTCAGGAAACCCACTCGTGACAAGCAGCTGCCAGGAGGCTGCAAAAATCAGGGGTACCTCACTGCCCATCCTGGGCAGACATCACCCTGCACGGCGGAGCTTGTTCACCGAAGCAGCCATGCCCCAGAGAGCAAGGGCAGCCATCACGGAGAAGCGCTGTTCCGGGAGCAAAACACTTAGAGGCAGCTGAAAGTGGCAGCAGCACCCCAGTGAAGCAGCAGCTCCCGTGGGTAGCATTCGGCATAGCCAAAGCACAGCCCTGTGAGCCCCCTGGGACACAGCCTGCCAGGCGACATGGCTGCAAGGCCCTGAAGCGTGAGAGGACGTAGACCCTCAGCTGCAGACTTTGCTGGGGGGCCGAGGGCCACGTGCACAGGGATCTCAAGCTGGGTGGGCAGGGTGGCTCACAGCCAGCACAGCTGCTCTGGGTACGTGGGAGAACAACCTCTTGTGCCAGGACACAGCACCCCACTTCTCACCCTTGCCCATAGCTCCACACAGCTCCCAGCGCTCCAGGACTAGGGCAGAAAAAGGGAGCACAAATCTCAAGGAAAAAAAAAAAAATGGGAAGAAGAGGACGGTGGTGCTGGGCGAGCAGAGAAGCGTGCACGTTGGGCAGACTGTGCCCAGGCTGCTGTTCACCAAGTGCTTGAACCCTCCATTGCAGCAGGAGCACAGCAGGGTGCAGATTCAAAGGGTCAGGGGCTGCTCAGCTCTCTGTGTATTACCAGCAAAGGAGACAAGAGATGCAACCCCAGCACTATTTTTCACAGACTCCTCTGTCTTTCACACCTAGCCTGAAGGCAAAGAGAATTAGTTGCATGGCTTGAAAATTGCACATGGCCCACAGGACACCCAGGTGCATTGGCTGTGCTGGAAGTCTTCACACTGCTGGGAACAAGGGAAGGGAAACAAGGTCCACAGGGAAATTGAGAGAGGAAGGAGAGACCGCCACAAAGAACTATGAGACAGCACAAAGCACTGCACAGTTTGAGAGGGTGCTCTCAGGCATGGGATGCTCAGGCTGGTCCTCCTGAGGGGCGGAGGAGTGCACAGCCAGGGATATCAGGGATGAAAAGAGGCCCTAAAGAACAGAGCGGAAAAGTTAGGACACCTCAGCCTAGGATAACGGTCCCCTATGGGGCACTTTACAGCAGTGATGCTAGCAGAGGCCAGGGACAGATCTGCAGCAAAACACACACGTAAGAAGAGATGGGAGCTGCCAGAGCACCAGCCAAGACTTCCCTCATGCCATGTCAACGAGTCTGTGCTGTGTCCTGGGCTCCATGGTACCCGCAGGACCAGAGAGCCAGCCAGGCATCAGAGCCAGGACGGAGGAGGGAAGGTGGAAAGATAAGGACAGGGACACAAAGGCTCCTACAAAGCGAGAGGCAGAAGGAGAAAGATAAGATGGTGCTACACAGAGAAGTGAGAGGAAGGGAATGAGATGAAACACAAGAAAGGAAAAGCTAACCAAGTAGCAGAGCTGCCCAGCAGCCACCAGCCGTCCCTTCAGGCCACATGAGAACTGAACTCACCACACCGCTAGGTGCAGACCCAGAGGAGTAGTGCTGATGTGCCGCGTGTGAAGGGAGAGTGGCGCTGCCTCCTATCCCTGTAGGAGGCAGGGAAAAGAACACCTCAGCATGGGTGCACGGCATGGGATAGGTGGTGCCATGTGAAACAGTCACAAGGAGATGTGCAGCAGAGCAGTCACAGGTCCAGGTGGTGCAGGCCAGCGAGATGGAGCTCTTCTGCTCCACCCGCTCCTAGTTCAGCTTCCCCAGCAAGCAGAAACAGATGCTCAGAGGTACAAAATTTGCTCCTGCCACCTTGGGAAGTGATCGAGTACGAGACAGCTGATCCATAGCCCCCTGCGCATGGGAAGCACTGGCCATCAGAAAGCTGTTGCTATTGTTTTTCAGCTCTCACACCAGACCAAACACTCCCAGAGGAGGTGAAAGATGCCCTAGAAAAGGTATGCAGTGGTGCCAAGTGGGACTGTCCCCAGCAAAGCAGAAATAGGGCCCTGCCCATTGCCCAAGGGGCGTGTGGACCCTGAGATGTGCACATAAAAGTGAGGGAGCAGACCCAGCCCAGACCCTGGGAGCAGGGACAGGTCTCAGTCACCCCAAACCATCTGTCAAAAAGAGGAGGAAGCTCTCCCTTGAAGGCACTCGCAAACCAGGCTGAGACAAGTTACAATTAAGAAAAAAAAAAAAAGTCAGTAAAATCATCAGTACTGGAGTAGGATTTGGTTTAAGCATAAAATGAATCATTGTTTCTACACTGAGACTTGTGCAAGAGCCCCAGGCAAGTCCCACCAGGTCTTGCGGCCCTTCTCAAATACTCTGGCTCTTGAACCCACTTTTCCCATATACACCTTCTCCTTTTGGGCCAGCCACCATCAACCCAAGATGGGGATGTCACTGGGTAACAAAAACTGAGGGAATACAAAAACTCACACTCATGCACTTGGGAGATGATAGAGAACATTTGGTGTTTCCTTCAGAGAAAGGGAATCTTTATTTGGCCCATGGGGGTGGGAGGAGAAGGGAGATGGAGGGAAATCAACTAAAATGGAATGATTTGAATGTGCAAATACATCAGTGGCCACCAGGGTGGGTCAGACAGGAACATACACGAGACACAGGTGGATTGCACTGATCGCCGTTTCCGAAGCAGCTAAAAAATAAAACAGAAGCGCCCTGCACCAGTTCTACCGTACCATTACTAAGTACCAAAGCAACCCTCCCAGAGTCAGTGAGACAGGCTCGCTCAGTTAGTGAACCGTTTCCGTGGCAGGCGGGCGAGCGCCAGTGCTCAGAAGGCATGCTGGGGTAGGACTCTCACACGCTCCTGTTCCCCACCTCCTATGGTGCCCTGCGTCTCCAGCCTGCTCAAACGCTCCAAGCTTCTTCCAAGAGCTTCTTCCAGCTGTCCCCGAAGCTCCTGGACCCCCTCCAGCTCCACCTGCAGAGTGTGGTCTCTCGCAGCGCTAAGCGGACATGCCGCACAGAAAGAAAGAGGGTTAGACAGGCTGCAGCAAGCGCATACCAAATTGGCACCTCCATCCGGGACCGCCAGTTACTCCAGGCACAGACTCTGCATGCTCCCCAGGCAGCTCAGCCACCTCTTGCCTCACCTCTAAACCTCCCCAGAGGACAGCCATCCCCAAAAAAGGCTCCAGCCCATGGTAGGGGACTCCTAGTCACAGCTGTTCTTCAGTACTTACCCAAGCACTCCACTTATGTGCTCTCTTGCTATCAGGTAGCTCAAATATCCCAGAGGCTGTAGCCCCACGAAGGGCAGGGGATTAGAGCGGAGGACAGAGAACGCAGGCCATACTGCGCTGCGGGATGACCGCCTGGATAAGTACCTAGATAGATCTTTATCAACCCAACAGTTGGTTGGGAATTTGACAGCAGCCTCTGAAAGGTGGCCAAAAGTGGGTGGGAAGCTGAGCCGGGAAGGGATAAGCCAGAGAATAGAGATGGAAATCCCAGGACCTGAACAAGAGGTGGCAGTGGGGGGAGTTTACGTAGCATTTAAAGCTGGCCACTTCAAGGGAAGAAGGCAGCCTAAAACCTGGACTTCCAAAGCCAGATTTGTCTGATTCTTTGCCCAGACTCCCTCTTTCCCACTGAGGGCTCTCAGACTTGCAGAACGATCACTGCTTCAGGGATTGCCCCACTAAACCACCCAACGCTTGCCCAAGCAGTGGAGCAGGGCAGCACAGAGCCAAGGCAGCTTCGCTTACCTGTCTGGGTGTGTGTGAAACTTCACCAGGCTGCCATAGAGCTGCCTCTCTGCCTGGAGAGCCTCATTTAACCGATTCCTTTCGGCCACCAGCCCTTCCAGCATCAGTAACAACTGGTTGGAGAGAACAGACAAGATGCAACACTTAGAGACAGAAATCGAAGGAGGCATCTGGCTGTTCCAGAGAAACAGGGGCTTCCCCTTCCTCTCTTGCTTGTGTCCAAGTGATCACGTTGATCAGTGTGACCCTTGGACTTCCAAAAGACTCTGCCCTTGCGACAAGTGCTAAAGGGAACCAATCCTCTCCTCCTTTGTATTCCCCCTATTGTACACAACCAGCTTCCAAGAACAAGCACATCTCAACGTATCCAAAGGCTGAAAAGAAAGCCTCATAACTTAGCGCCAGCAGAAATATAAACACATCCAAGCTTGCCCTGCATGGCACACTACCTGCTGCCTTCTGTTTCCAGTAGCCTCTTGTCCTCGTGACTCTGCTGTGGCCACTTTCTCCCGAAGCACCAGCACTTCTTGCGTCAGCCTTTCTACAGCTGGAATTTCTTCGGGATCCACCAGCTGCATCTGCAGATCCTGAAAACCAAGAGCAGGAGGGCTCAGTGAAGAAGGGATCAATAACAAGGACAGCTGGACCTTCATAATCCTCCCTGGAACACAACTGCCAAAAGTTTCCAGTGTTTGGAAAGACCTAAGTCTCCTGAGAAAGAAATGCCAAAGCACCCAGCGTGTATTAGACACAGATAACAGCCTGGAGCAGGAACTGAGAAGGGACACGATGCACTCTATTTAAAGGACTCTCAAAGAAGGGCGTTTGGTACACAAGGAGCAAAAAGCCAAATAGTGCCACTCTGGGGGTTTGGGGCATTTGCCTTCTGGCCAAAGTAACATAGAGGGCTGTTTGCTGTAGGCAAACCAGCAGCAACACCATCCATGGACAGCCAGCCACATTACTCTGAGGAGGCCCTTCGCTCCTTAGCAGAGGGTACCCACTCATGGCTATCACAGAAAGCCTGCAGCTTAGTTTCTACGTCTTATCATTCAGTGTGAGTGAGTAAGCATGAGGTACAGGATGTGGAGAAAGAAGAAGAGACTCATCTGCAGCCTTCCCAGGCAGAACCGACCCAGCACAGCACGTTCTCTCACCTTGATGAGGTCCTCTTTGATCTGGATGGTCCTGGTCAAGGACTCTATATCCGAGGCCTGCACCTGCAGCTCTTCCTCCTGCGTGGCCACGACAGACTGGAGAGCAGTCAGTTCCCGCTAGGGAGGGAAGAGAAGTTCGTGAAAGACTTCAGAAAGCCAAAACCCCACTGCAAGCTGCTGCCCCATTTCTCTCACTGGCGGTACCCTCACAATAGGGGGGTCCAAAACGTCCAATGAGGGGCAGCCCAATGGTCTCCTGTAAGCAAGGGAGATCAGCACAGGCTCCATCACAAGCTCACCCTGCTTTCCCTTTCCTTCTTCGTCATTAGCTCCAGCTCCTCTTTGGCATTAACAAGATCCTTCTCCAGTTCTGCTGCTGATGCCGTAACTGCAAAGACAGCTTGATTACTGCAGGGTTACCATGTGTCAGCTCCGACCCAAGGATCAGACAGAATCCCTCTTTGGCAAGATAGGTCTATGATGCTTGTGCTCCCCATCACACTGCCTCTCAGTAAACACTCTTCTTCCCTGCTTGATCCCTAAACAGCAGCCCAAGGCAACAGCAATGTCCTAGGCCTGCTGTCCCACCCCTGGCAAAAATCAGGTGTCCTGGCCCACAGGCAAAACCCAAACCAGTTGCACTTGTCTCAGTCCAGCCTGAACCATAAAGTCAAAAACCCTTCACTGGACAGCATCAGCTCTTGAGTAGAAGCACCTAACCTCAAACCCGACACCAGCCTTTCTCTTTTCCATACTCCCAACCCCAGACATCCCTGAACCATCACCCAAAGAGGAGGCACAGCTCAAAATATTCACTCTTGCTCAAAGCTCTTTACACTCTCACAGTTTCATGTAACCATGTTTCCCCCACCGCAAAAAGCCCTGATCATGTTTGGGGACCTTGAAAGAAGCTGTCACCACACTCACCTCCCTCTGTCCTGCAGCTGTTGTCCCCTTGCTGGGGTCCAGCAATGGCTGTAGCCCCACAAGCTCTTTGCAGTATTTCCTGAAAACACAAAAGCCTTCAGGTTTGCACCTTTATGGGGAACCTAGCACTCGCAGCTTCCCCAGAGCCCCAGGACTGCAGCAAAGCCGCTGGCTGCTTTGTTGATGCTCTGAATGTGAGAAACCAATGAAGGGGATCTAGCCAGGCAGCGGGGACAAGTGAATTGCACCCAGCCTAGAAGCTGTATGTGTGAGCAACAGGGCTCTGGCCTGGTTTTATCTGGCACTAGGAGGTTGCTGGCAGTGAGCGTCTTCATAGTAAGGATCAAACAGGTTTCACTCAACTGCAGCAAACCCATCTTTCAACTGAGACTCTACAAAGACCTACATCTTCACCCAAGGATGTGGCCCAGAGGGACCACGCGGGAAGGAAAAAACAGAGCTTGGCCTATATACACGTCCCTGGAAGTCTCCAGAGCTTGCTTTCATCCTGGGAATAGAAATGAGCAACCTGTGTACAGCTGCTTAAAAACATTCAACATGTCAGCTCACCAATAAACCATTAACAGCTGCTCAAGTAGGAGCGTGGCATATGTAGCCTCAGAGTTGTGTTCAGCCTCAAAGGGGTTTTTAGCAAAGCTGCTTTAAAAATACCAACTCCAATTGTGGAAGAGACAGCAAACAGCTGGCAGATTCTGCCAAGAATTAGTGGGACCTAAAATTAGCTCTCTTGTCCCCTCCAGAATGTGACAATGTCAGGGAGAGGATTACAATACAGCGAGACAGCCCAGCCCAAGGAAGGACTGGGTCAATGCTGGAAGGTCAGAGGGTGGATTTCTTTCATACTCTCACGTGCCCTAAGGACTCAAATACTGCCTGATCAAAATGCAAGGAGACACTGAGTGACAAAGGCTGGTGGAATCAAGATCAGAACATCCAGGCAGCATTTCTGCTCCTCAGTTTCTTCTCTTCCTCCTATAGGAAGTCTCTTCCCTAATCTCACTTTCATTTCTATCATTCTCTGTGGTGCTCCCCTCTCTCCCATTTCCTCCTGTTGCAATCAGTTCTCTCTGGAGCCCCGAGGCCATGGGCAGAGAAACACAGTGCACGATTCTTACTTGTATGGGCTGTGTGTCCTGCTTCAACAGCCTAGCACCAGCTAACTGGGTCGCGACAGGCTCCTTCCCCAACACATGCTGGCGTAGGAGTTGTAACTCGCAGCTCCTTTCAGCCAAAGCGTGCGCCATCTTCTCAGCAGCCATCTGATTTGAGCAGGAAAAATAGGGAAAGGCAGGGCTGTGATCAGGGGTAGGATCCCTGTCCCTCGCCTTCCCTACAGACTAAGGGAAACCATCTCAATATTTGTCTGTCACTTGAGACTAGAAGTGATCTGCAAACCAGCCTGGGAGCTGCTGCTCCTGGCCACTCAAAGCAACCCCACTGCAGCCCTCCCATCTTTGCTTCCAGGTAGCTGCAGCAAGGCTCAGCCTCTCTGCCTACAGAGGCACAAGCTCCTCAGTTTCTCACACCCCATTCAGGAGGGGAGAAAGACAGAGGACAGACAAAGAGGAGGAGACAGTGCTTGGCCTTTTAGCCCCCTTTTTATGAAAGGAAACTCAATGCAAAGTGTCTTGGGTAACACTGAACCACACCCAGGGTGCAAGAGTAGGCAGAGTAGGAACTGTGGCCTTTTAAGTGGCATTTACATGCCCAGGACCATGCACTAGTTTGACTTAACGTGTAAGTTAAGAGGCAATGAGCAGAGCCTCCTTAGACTTCTGCACTACACAAGAAATAGCTCAGTCTTCCTTTCTGGTCTGGTAACACTCTCATGAAGCAGCATCCCTCCCATGGCCCCTCTGCTGCCCCAAGCCCAGGAGCATGGAGGAGGATCTTCACCTCTGAACTTCTTCCCCCACCACACACAAACCCTGCCCAGTCCACTTAATGACAGGAACCTGACACCTGAACACTGCTACAAGAGCTGCTGCTTTGTAACTGCTCCCACCTGATAGGTTGAGACCAACCTAGAAACAGCTCATGGCATCTCATGTGGTTCTTCAACACTCAGCAGCTCCACCGGGCTACACCAACAGCAGCTAGAAAGCAGCTTCCATTTGCTTAATGCAAGGCAGAGCCATCCACCCCGGCCTCCCCACTGTGGCACTGCACACAACTCACTCTGCTCTGCTGCTCCTTGGTGCTCACGGCCTGCAGCAGCTCCCGGATTTCAGCATCATGCTCCATGGTCTGATGGTTCCTGTCACTGAGGAGATCCTGCAGCATTTTCTCCTTGTGCTGGAGACGCAGGCACAGCTCCTCTGCTACCTCACTCTGTCCTGGGCCCAGCTTGCACAGCAGAGTTGCTGTAAGCTCCTGAACAAGGGGAAGGAAGGGAGAGATGGAGAGACATTGCTACCATCAAACTGCAAGCTGTTCAGGGAGGAACAGCTCTTCAGCCTGGGTGTAGCTGAGAAAGCAGTGTCTCAGCAAGCACAGGTATTTACAGGTGCCAAAAGCAGCCAGCTTCCAAAGCACTGGGCACAGGTTCAAGTGCCCTCCTCAGAGGCAGGCAGCCAGGAGGCTCTGGTTTGGGACCGCACTCCCTGCAGACAAACTGGCTGAAGGCTCAGGAAGCCAAGCTAAGGCCTTACCTCCACTTCCTTGTTCCTGTCATGCAGGCAGGTCTGCAGCTGCTGGATGATCCCCTCCTGCTCTTTCTGCCTGCTGCAGGATTTGGCCTCGATCTCCTCCTTGAGCCAGCGGAGGTTTTGGCAGGTTGCTGACACCTGCTCTAGTTCCAGGGTTTTGGCTTTCAGGAGGCTCTCCAGGCTCTGGGGACCACAACAGAAGCAGCTCAACCAGGGACAGAGACTTTATCCTGAATTAAGCAGAACTGGAAGTACCAGCCTTTCCTGCTAGTGGAGTCACATAGATTCACACCTGTCCTCTCCAGACACCACACTCACCTCTATACCCAGCCCAGAAACACGAGTGACCCAGGAACTTGCCCCGCACACAAGGCCAGAGGAAAGCCAACACCCTGCAGCCACTCTCCCCAGCAACAACCAGAGCATTCACAGGAAGGTTTGTTTAGCACCACACCACAGCCAGGCTGGACTCCACATGCCCAGGTAACAAGCACTCACATGAATGGTGGCCTCATTGCTGGATAGGACATTGCGCAACCTCTCCAGGTCACTTCCACGCTCCCTTATTGAGAGATGGAGCTGTTGCAGCTCTTGCTCCTTCTTCTCCAGGGTACAGAACTTCTCATCTACTGCTCGCTAGGGTGAGAGGGGGTGATCACTCAGAATGGGGTAGTAGGGCTCTGCAGCCCACCACTCACTTTGTGGGGCACCTCAGCTCTCCCTTTCAGAGGGCTCCTCTGGAAGGCTGAGCCATGAAGAGCACATCGAAGACATGATCACCTCTGAGGTCAGCCTGGGGCTGCACCACTGATGGTAGCCCAAAGGCTGAGCCTCAGGGAAAACTAAGACATCACCAACAGAGGTGTGCTCACCTCCAGAGCAGCATCCCTGTCGCTGACTCGCTGCTGCAGTTTCTCCAACATGACGTTAATGGCTGCAGGGCTCTTGTCCAAGTTTTGCTGGCATTGCAGAAGCTCCCTCGATTCCTAGAGGTTGCACACACAATCCCCTAGTACAACTGTCAGTCTGGAACACACACCCCCCCAGAGAGCAGCACAGAGAATCAGGGCTAACTACCTTCACTACACTTGCTCTACCCCGCACATTAAAGAGTGGTAGAGTCCCAGCACGTGGGGCTGGTTGACTAGCACCTGCCAGGGCACACCAGGCATTGCTGTGGGCTGAGGTACTCAGATACTGGTGCTTTATTCCTCATCTTGGGAGCCCAGAAGCACCTCTTTCCTTCCCTTCTTCAAAGGGCATGTGTGAAAGCTACAGACCAGTATTCAGCAATGCAAAAGTCAAAGGAGGAGCAGAAGCCCTGACTAGTTATGCTCAACTTGAATCTTTCTGCATCTCACCTGCAGAAGCTGTTCCTTGCGAGCCAGATGCTGACACAAATGCTGAACTCTCTGCTCCTGGGCCTGCAGCTCACGGCATTTCTCCCACTCCACAGTCTGGAGCTGCTGGGCCTTGTCCTGCAGCTCTGCCTGCAGCTGCTGTACTACAGCTCGCAGTTCCTGCAAAGGAAAAGCACACACCTTGGCAGTCAGTCCTCAACAGACCTGTAAACAGCAGGCCAATCTGAAGAAGCCAAGAGCAACAAGGGCCATGGGAACAGCCAGAAATACTTTGCAATACTACAGCTTTCACATCTCAAAACACAATTCCATCGTGATGAAGTTTATTTCATTTCCCAGGGTATCCATCCATCTAAATCCCTTGCTCTGGCCACAGACAGCTTTACAGTCAATCATAGCTAACCTGTGCAGCAGTGGGCATTAACTTCGTAACATCACAAAAAGAGATGGAACATTTGCACCAGCCAAAGACATACAAGGGACAACATACCCGCTATCAAGTGTCTTTGCTGATTCTAAATCCTCAGATATGAAGCTAAGGACACATGTGACAAGGGGTTAGCCAAGTGTGCCCAGACTGGTGTAGGCAAGAAATGTTGAATGAGCACAGAGTACTGACTACATCAGTGCTTCTTAAGTCGTGTAAACCCAGAGACTTCCAGGCTAAGTGCTTGTCATACCTGGTTGTGTTTCCGGGTTGCCTCTTTCTGCTGCTCTTCTTCATGCACCATGGTCTCTAGGAGCTGGGTTGCTCTCCTGGCTTCAGCCAGTTGATGCTCTTTCTGGCGCTGAGTTCTTTTCAGCTTCCGCAGCTCCAGCTTGGTGCAGAAAAGCGTGTTCTGAAGATCTAGCAGTGACATTTGCTGTTCCTGGGATGACAGTGGGCTCTCTGATATCTAACAAGAGTGAGAAGCAGAGAAACTCAAAGATTCACTTCACAAGAGGGATTTAAAAATCAGGATCCCTGCAGAACAAAACCTGATGTATTTGAGGCTTCCCAGGGACATACCTGCAACTGTCCCAGATGGCTTCTGTGTAACATGTCCTGCAGCTTGGCCATTGTTTCATTCTGCCCTTCGATAATATGGTACAGCTCTTCTGCCTATGAGTCAAAGGATACGAAGCCCAGCCATTGGCAAACCAAGCACAAACCCTCCCGTCCCAAGCCTCCAGCGTGGATTACAATACATGTCAGCATCGCACGAAACTAAGAGCTTCGCAATAAGTAATTTAATGAGATCCAGGATGTCTAGCAATGGCTTAAGCATTCTTTTTCAGTCACTGCCTACAGGGCTAGCACACTTTCCTCTTTCGGTGAGCACCACCCTGTCCACCCAAAACTATTACCTTACTCTCTTTGCTTTTCAGGGCCTCATTCAGACTCTGGATTGTACGATCTTGCCTCTGCGATGTTTCTTGGACAGATTTTAATTCAAAATTCAATTCATTCAGCTTTTCCTGTAACAACTGAAGACAGAAATATATTGTTTTTTTTAATCCTGCCTAATGCTCTACATAAACACCCTTAGGACTCCCTCCGCTCCTTACTCAAGTCCCTACAGCCCAGGTGTTCACCAGATCAAGATCAACGTGGCTCCCTCTAGAGTCTGTAAATACTGTTTGAGCTGGGTGGAGACCAGTGAGTAAACATAAAGCCTTCAGTGCCTCCACAGGACTGTTCCAGTGCTTCTGGTCCCTCCAATGCAGCCCCCACGTGCAGGGCGGAGGTTCCAGGCTTGGGTTCACACATCATACTGCCTCCCACATACTCCAGGAGAGTCTTGCTCGGACTGCCCAGCGCCTTCCCAGTTTCTATCATTTGTTTCTGCTCCCTTAAGAGGAAAGGGGCTGCTTCAGCCCAAAAACCTCCCAAGAGATCTGAAAAAAAAAAATCAACATGGAGAAGCTACACATTCTAAAAACTGTCCCATTTGCTTCTGAGGTCCTCCAGAGCATTGCAGCTGCCCCTTTACAATCTTCCAGCCCCTTCTCTTACTGTCTCCTTCGACCACACAGGCACTCTTGCAGCAGCTGCTCATCTAGGTAATTCTACATTCAATCAGATCAGTGGCTTATTTAGCCTCAAGTTCTGGCTTCAGCACAACAGAGTCTAGCCAGTACCATCTTGCCAACAGCATGGCTGCAAAGCAAAGAGGAACGTCTCGCTAGTCTCTGTGTCTGGTTTACAACCTGAGCAACTTTTGCCCTAGACTTTTTCATCCTAAAGAAACTACCATCTCAAACAGTTTTAGGACAGTTCTCTGCTTTCACCATAATGTTCATGATGCAGCACACGTTGTGCATTTAGGCAACTGCTTGTTAGCATTTCTAAACATGCTGCCTGTTGGCATTCTTAGTCTTGGATGATAAGCATCTTCCTCAGAACTTACTCAAGCCTCAATTTCTTAAGGAGTTGGTGCTGCCACATGATTTCCTCTTGTTGCTCATTAGTTTACACACCTGCCATGTTATCTCTTCTCTAAGAGACACTCGCCCTAAACTGTTTAAACACTGCCAACTGCATTTACTGGGCCTTGGGCCTCTTTATTGCCCTGTCAACCTTTGTGGTCCAGGCAGCTCCAACAGCTTACAGCTGTCCCCAGATTTAAATAAAGATCCCATCCTGATGTTTTTTCCCCATTTAATCCCTCTGTTTTCCCAGTGGGTATAACTTACCTTAGAGTTCAAGAGCACAACTAAGAAAATCAACCCCTCGCAACGTATTAAATTTGATCTGCCTCAAGACAACTCAGCTGCATGTTTCTTTCCTAAGAAAGCCTTTAAATCGAAATGAAAACAGGACCCCTCTGAGCTGATCTCCCTTACTGCTTACAAAAAAGAAGGCAGCTGTCTTGAAAGGCAGGTGCCCTCCTCTCCTGCACCAGGCTCAGCCCATGCAAATCCAAGAGACAGGGAAATAGTCCTGTGCATCTCCCCTTCACCAGCTCCCAAAAGGCTCACCAGGCAAGTGGGAAGTTCTTCCAAAATAATGGTTTCCAAAAAAAATATGGAAAATTTACACAGCACAGCTGCAGAAAAAAGTAAATGCTCTTAACTCAAGCTGGCAGACAACAGCACTGAGAATCACGTGTCAGGACACACACCCTTGCTGGAACAGAGGTGCAGATGCCTGCCTCTGGCCAGGCTAGGAGGCACCCTCCAATACTAACTACATCAGGCTCACTAGGCACTGAATTTGCTGTTCATGAAGAAATACCTTGTTGGCAGCTTCAAACTGCTGGATTTTGCCCTGCAGCTCTGCAGCACACAGATCAGACACGTGCTCCCCCACTGCAGGGTCACCCGGAGCCGGCTGCTGATGTTCATCCTGCAAATTCTGAGAAAAAAAAGGAGAGAAATGGCTCAAGTCTTGCACTGGCTTCTTCTATTCAGCTGTCAGCCCTCAGAGACCTTGCAGCATGGGCTTAAACACGCCCCACTGTGCTTTTCTAACTGTCTCCGAACAGTTAGAAAAGTTAGTGTCTCTCGAAAGGGAGACACGAACCCAGCTGCCTGTGTCTCCCTTCACCTGGGTGGCAGACTGGCACCTGGCAGCTCTCTGCCTGACCCGCCAGAAGTTCCCTGCTGCCCTGAGGCTCTGGTTGGGCTCCTGTCTCTCCTCACTCCAGTACCGTGAGCCCAGCAGCTTGTCTGGCTCTAACCACTGTCTGCAGGCTGATGACAGATCTGCTCCCCACACCCAAGCCATGTCTCCGAAACCTCCTCTCCTTCCTACATATCCAGCTGGCAGCTTCAAAAAGCTTCAAAACAAAGCCAGCACCAAATCAAAGTCCTTCCCATGTTCTGCCAAGCTTCTCCTTCTTAATCAAGCCCGCAATCTTCAATCCTTCCCACCAGCTACCCTCCTGCTGTGACCTGGCAGTCACCCCCAGCTCTGAACCCCTCCACTTGTGATTCTCTGGGCTCTCCTTCACAGCTCCCCATGCTCCAGCACCCACGCAGTGTGCAATTCCCTGCAGCTCCACAAGCCGTAGCAAATTCAATGCCACAGCTGAGATTTTTTTTCATGATATATACCCATTTATTGAGAATGGAAACAGCCTACTTTCTGACACGTGGCCTGCCAGACCCTGCTGGCTGAGCACACACTAATCCCTTGTCATCCCTTCTTACTCTTGTGCTACCTCCCGCCTAGTGAGTTGTTAACTCCCAACAGCAGCATTCAAACCAGCTACCCACTGCAGCCCTCACAGGACTTGTTAAGTATTCCTGAATATTACCAGTGATACGAGATCAATTGTACTGGTGTCTGTTTCAAGTGGGAGTCCTGGCAAGCGCAGGGTTGCAGCGCAGAGGCTATGAGAACATGGCAGAGCTTTTCAGAGCACAGAGGAGCACCAGCTCCAGGCAGCACAGTGCAGGGAGAACAACAGTCAACTCCGATCAGCCCTGTCGGATTGAATCCTTATCTTCAGCAGCCACAGAAACGCTGTCTCTGGGAAAGGCAGGCAGCACAGGGAAGCTCCCCAGGCCTGTGCATTGCCTCTCACATACAGAAGCTTCCACACAGAAGCAATGCTTCCCTTTACCCTGATGTTTTGTTAAGGTTTTAGTGAAACCTTAAACAGTCACAGCAAGTAATTTCACGTTTGCCCAGCTGGAAGGCTTCAGATCAGACAGGGAGAGCTGCTGGAATCTCTCACACAACAGCTATTTTGAAATAAGGTTGATGAAAAGAAAATGGGGAGGGGGGGGCTGGGGAGGGGAAAGGAAAACACGCCTTTCCCCACAATTTGCACACTCCTAAGAAAAATAAGCAAAAAGCCTGCAAAGAGTTAAGAGCAGGGAAGGGAAAGGCAGAGCCAGCTCCAGAGTCCAAAGTCCCAAAGCCCAAGCTGCCTCCCTCCTCCCTTGTGCTTCCCCGCAGCCATGCCACGCAAGGAAGAGCATGGCTCCCCAGAGGTTTTTCCTACATCAGCATTTTACTGACAATCTCTCCTCAGTACAGCTCCAGCAATGTCAGCACACACCGACCTAGACAGAACACTTCTTCCAAAAATAAGGACAATAATCACAGCATTATCTAAGCCCGCCAAGCTCGCATCTGCCCAGAACAGTGGGTAAAAGACCTGCTGTCAGTAGGGCAACGCTTCCCTTGCTGCCAGCACGGCACCGCAGGCAGTTGCAAGCGTGTGTCTGACAAAGGCTGGGTTTGATGGCGTTTTCCTGGGGTTGTGGTGATGAAAAGGAAGAATTGTTGGTTCAAGAAAATGCCCAAGACGACAGTACCTACAAGATCATGTGCCCTGACACCAGATCTCTCAGTCATTGTAGCTCACAGCAGTAAATTTAAAGGAGAACTGCAGTTTTCCAAAAGCAATAAGGGAACTGTGGTCCTATATATCCTATATATTCCTTTCACGTTACCAGAAAGGCATTTATGCATATGAATCGCTGGACAGCAGTACCTGACTTTTAGAAACTGTGTTACTTGTACAAAGAGAAAGAAATATCATTTATACAAGAACCATTTAGTTTACTAGCTGCATCCAACTTCTAATTTTTGCTGTTAAAGCCATCCAAAGAATTAAGCGCTTTCCCCCTTCTGCCAGACCCTGCACCAAAGACCACAACTGCTGCTGCCACGGCAAGAAACAGGCAGTAAAAAATCCTGCAGGATGAATTCCTGGCAGGAACAGTCAGATGGCAGAGGCTGGAGGTTGGAGAAACTCCTCTAAACCAGTTCCAAGAGGAGGATGGCAACGCATGACACAAAGCCAAGCCATAAATGCGCCACGTTGATTGCACCACGTTCTGTTAAGAGAAAGCCTATTTTTATGCTGTAAATATATCCCTAGTAGTGAAAATTAGCAGCAAGCAACACAGTCTACAGAAGCAGCACATCTACCCTGCTTCACATCTTCAGTTGGTGGCTGCCAGTGTGCACCAGATGAAAATTAGTTTTTTCTATGTTCCTCCCTAGCATTATCTCTTGAGCAGGTTTTTATGGGAAAAGCACACAGCTCTGGGAAACGCCTGGGCAGATGGGACAGCAAGCCACGCTGGCTGAATAGGAAGCATAATTCAGCACAGCTACAGTTGCCATAGTAATAAACAAGCATTTTTCTAATCCCCCAGGCTACCTAGAGCATTAGAGAGCACTAAGGCTGCTAATGGGAATGCAATTAGGCTGACATGGATATTCCTGAATTGAAGCTGACTGAGGCCTTCTATTCATTAAGGGAAGTGGTAAAGGAGTTACAAGTTCAGCTTTTTGACTGCATACTAATGAAGATTTCATTAAAGCCAGCAAAACAGAGGCAATCCAGAGCTACATGAGGACTCCCATCAAATCCTGTGAAAGCAGCTTTCATCGCCTCTCTGCAACACCTGCTGTTAATTGATGAATATTTTCATAGAACATCAACCCTAAAGTCATCCTCTGGCTCAAATCCACCTGCAAGGAAAACACCTTTTCCTCAGGGCATGCACCACAGATCTCTGTGCGGATCTGCACGTTAGGCAGGTTGGAGGCCTGATCTGCAGAGGCAGGGCTCTGGAGGCAGGCGTTCCTGACACTGAACCATTACCCAGGCACAAAGAAAAGACAATTTCTGGAAAACACATGCCCAGAAGCTTAAAACACTCCCTTTAGTTGTGGGTAAAAGTCACAACGACTTCTTAAAGAGAAAGCTGAAGTGAAACTGGTGTTTTCTCAACAGAAAAATGACAAAGCATGCAAAGAGCTTATACCCATCTAGCAAGCTGCATTCACAGGAAGAGCTGATGGAGGGGGGGAGGGTTAATTTCCCAGAACACAAGGAGGAAACAGACGACAGCAGAATGACAGAGGAGAGAGGCAGCACACCTAAAAAGGACCGAGCTGCCTATTCTTAGCCCTGGGCTCAGTGACACATGGCTATCTGTATTATCTCAGCACAGAAGAATCCCTAGTGGGCTCGGCGTTGGGTCGCAGGGACGCTGCTCAATTGAACAGCGGCACAATGACCTCTACCTGTACCCGCAGCGGCATATAATCCTCACAGAGGTCATCCCACAGCTCCTGCAGTTCAGAAATCTCCAGGGAAAGACCCAAAGGAGCTCTGGAAAAGGATTTTCTGTCTGCGTTCAGGAAGGCAGAACCAGCACACACTAAGCCAGCAGAAGCGCTGCCATCTGCCAAGTCACGGCTAAGCTTGGGAGGGGGCAAGCTGGACTTCACAGGAATAGGTAGCCTGCTGCCTTGGGGGCTCTGAAGGGGTTTGTAATCCAAAGTCTTGATCAAGTTGAGGGCCAGCTCCAGCCTGTTCCCGCTCAGCGAAGAGCTTGGGGTTATGCGGTCATCTGAGAAATCGTCACATTTCCCATTCCCTTTCATCCCCTTATCTGCATCTTCGTCCTTCTGCTGCGGAGGGCTCGCCTCCACAGTTGTGTCCAGGGACTCAACAGAGGACACAGGCGTGCCTTCCTCCATGCTTTCCCCATCCACAGGCCCTCTGGTGCTGGTGGACTCTGCTGCATCGCACACGGATGACTCCTCATTGCCCATGCTGGCCGACCACCGGCTGGACAGCCCACAGGAGATGCTTTTGGCCACCTTTCGCGGCACTTTGCAAATTGCTTCGTAGTCGGCATCGGCCACCCGCAGCACAGCACAGCCACGGCAGCGCCGTGGGCGGTTACTTGTTCCCTCTGAAGCATGGCAGCTGTGTGGCTCCAAGCTGTGCTCTTCTTGATCCGTCCAATATTCATACCCAGAATAAGCAAAGTCCTCCTGAAGGAGGGCAGCGTACCGTACATCAGGCAGATTAGACAGGTCCACAGTCCCATCCCCAGCTCTGTCATCTGTGCTAGAGTCTTCGTTGTTCCTGCGGTACATGCTTGCAATGCAGAACTTGAGGCGGTCTTTCTCCAGCAGCAGTTTCTGCAGGCGCTCGATGGAGAGGGCTTCGATGCGCGCGATGACGGTGTCGAACCTGTAGATGCGGTCCAGCATGAAGGCACACTTGCCGCAAACGAACTCGGATTTGCCATCCCGGCACAGCTCCCTGCCCAGGACGTGGGAGAGCAGCACCTGGAGGTTCAGCTTGGCCGCCGTGTGGAAGATCCATCGTCGCTGGTTGCCGCACAGCTCCCGGGCGCAGATCCGGCAGGTTTCCTTCATCCTCCCTCCTGACCAGCACCCAAACCTACTTCTGGGGGTTCTCAAGAGACCTTCCTGAGGCCTCTACCGCTCACTCAGCGCATCTCCCAGGGCACAGCTCCCTCAAGCCCTGAGCCCACCGCCACTTCTCACCCCACCAATCTCCCCTTTTTAGGAGGGTGACACGCTGGGACTCCTGATGCTATAGAAACATCCCACCCTACAACATCTCCTTCACATCTCAGCCCAATCACACCAGGGCTGCCCCCCTCTCCGGGCTGACC